ATCGTCTTTCGCTTCTCTGTACTCTCGTAATCTTGAGGTGGGCTGGGGTGGCTTCGTACAGCACCCGACCTGACTAACTGCCTGCCCACCTGCCTACCTACCTACCACCTATACTTTGTTCTCTTCCTCATTCAGAGGTAGGTGCCTATCGTACCAACTTAGTAAATCACCTCTCCAGGTTTTACGGATACCTTCACACCTTAATAGGTAGTACCTACCTTACCTAGGTACCTATCCCTTACTGTCACATCCACTACCAAGTTTAGTAGTACTTGGAGGTACCTACTAAGTTAGCCCAGGTTGGGTCTCGTTTACAGCCCGCCTCAGTACATTACATTACAGTACAACGCAACGCAACATAACGCAATGCAAAGCAACAATCCGCCTTTAATAATAATTTGTTGCTAATTAACCACCTCACCCATCACAACCTCGCACCGAACTTTGACACCTCTCGCTCTCAACTAACTCCAACAAGATTGTTCGATATCGGTGATGCTCCACGGTCCACGCCGTCGCCAGTGGCCGACCGTCCCTTGCTCACGACTCGCGTTACTCCTCCCCGTGCGAGTCGAGCTTGAGCCTGCCCACTTCCCCTGAGCATCTGCCCCAAGGCTTCTCCATCGCCCACCATGAATGGGGACCTGAGCCTTTCTCAGGCCCTAGGCGGATTGCGCATCGCCAACCCTGACGACGCCGCTGAGGCTGTTAATGCTTCTTCAACCTCTTCTCCTGGACCCGACCCTACTACTCACAATACATCCCTTTCCGCTTCCACATCAACATCCGCCCTCCACTCTACGTCTCAAGCAACAGCCACATCCATAACGCCCTCACCCTACGATGCTATTCGTCTCGACCCGATAGATGCCGGAGTCGACTCTTCGCTAACCGATCCTCGACTCACCCCGTCTGCCCAGTCGTCCGACTTTATTTCAGAACCAAGCCCCTCCGCCGGACCTTCACAGTCATTACCACAAGCCGAACCATCGAGGACGTCCATTTACGGAATGCCCAACGTGCCCGAACCTGGCTCCAGCACCTCATATCCCGTTAGGGAGTCCAGCCGCCGAGACCCTCAACGCTTTAACAAACCGACTCGACCAATATCAGGCTTGAATCCCGGCGGCAGTCCGTTACCACCTCGAGGGAGCTCAAGAGGCATGGGAGTTGGCTATGCAACTGGGCCTGGCGGACCGCAACCGAACCAACCATACACCGGTGATGCGCCAGTTCCCACCACCAGAGAAGACTGGCAGGAGCGCGGAGCCGCCGTAGGAGTCCGTCGGGAGGTTGACGCAAATGGACGAACTGTTGTTCGACAGGTCAAGAAGGGCGTCCGCGATTTTTCCTTCGGACGCACTCTTGGAGAAGGCTCCTACAGCACTGTATACATGGCAACTGATCGACAGACTCTCAAAGAGTATGCCGTCAAGGTACTCGAAAAAAGACACATCATCAAGGAGAAGAAGATCAAGTATGTCAACATCGAGAAAAATACTCTTAATCGACTCACTGAGCATCCTGGTATTGTCCGGTTATACTACACATTTCAAGACGAGACTTCTCTATACTATGTCCTCGATCTATGTAATGGCGGGGAACTTCTTGGTGTTTTGAAGAAGACAGGTACTTTCGACCTTGAGTGCACTAGGTTCTACGGGGCACAAATCCTCGATGCTATTGATTATATGCATTCCCGAGGCGTTATTCACCGAGACCTAAAACCCGAAAATGTGTTGCTGGACGATCAAATGCATATCAAGATCACAGATTTTGGGACTGCTAAATTACTGAAGGACCCTCGGGAAGATGGGTCAACAGCATCAGCCAGTGGCGCCCCTGACCCAGGACACGACGAAGACAACCGTGCAGCATCATTCGTTGGCACTGCTGAATATGTGAGCCCTGAGCTCCTTACACATAAGAACGCCTGTAAGGCTAGCGACTTATGGGCATTTGGCTGCATCATATACCAACTTTTAGCTGGCCGACCACCTTTCAAGGGTGGCAGTGAGTATCTTACCTTTCAAAAGATCGTCAACCTCGAGTACGAGTTTCCTCCCGGATTCCCGCCGGCCGCTCGAGACCTCGTGGAGCGTTGCCTAGTTCTTGAACCTGCCAGGCGACTGACTGTAGAGCATATCAAGAACCACGAGTTCTTTGACGGACAACCCTTTGGAAAAGGACTCTGGAGAACCAAAGCCCCTCGTTTACGCCCTTACGTAGCGCCTCCGCAAGAGCCGCAGGTCATCCAGCTCAACGGCTTTTCCAACCCTACAAACCCGACCAACAACTCGAGAGCACCCCCTGGGCCCCAGACTACCCCTTCCAATGGGAGCAGTCGGCCTTCTCGAATAATCACCGAGCTTCCTCCCCCGACACAGCTTGATATCGAATGGTCGCCGGTATTAACCAAGAACAACGAGCGCATTCTCAAGCTGGGTGATCTTATGGTGGTCTCGACGCCTCTACCTTCTAGCCCTCATGGAAAAGAACCAGGAGAAGGACATAAGAAGTTGTCTCGTTTCTTTATCGGAAGCACAACAAAGAAGCGTCAGCGCTTAGTCATGATTACCTCGAGTGGTCGAATTGTGCTTGCTCCAGCTGGTGGCGAGGAGAAAAGAGCAAAACAAGAGTTGTCTTTATTAGGTTCAGACTGCTCTTGGAAAACCCAGGTCGACGCGAAAGGGCAAACAGTGTGGTGTGTTAATACAGTAAGCCATCCATATGCTGTCTCTGAACTTTTTGACCTTGTACTGATAATTACAAACAGGGAGGCCATCATTATACATTCGAGGAAGCCAAATCCTCCTCAAACCCACCGGAAGGCGGTTCTGCCGCCGCCGATTGGATCGAGTGTTTGGAGCGTGCCAGAGACATGGCCCTCTCCCAAAGCATGGCCACTTCTTATGGAGGCGATAGCGGATTTGCTGACATGTCGTCTCAAGTATCGAGTCCCTCTAGTACAATAGGGGGACCGGGCAACTATTCGGAAGGGTTTGGTATAAACGACCGACAGGGAAGGAACCATTTGAGTAAGAATCAGGGGAACGCTGAAGATCCGGCACCTAAGCGTAACCGGTTCAGCAAAAGACAATCAAGAAATGGTCTGGGATCTGCATTCTGAGGAGTCGCTGACAGCCAAACTGTACGGACAAACCTGGAGTGATTATCCTGTGGACTATTCCGTCGACTCTGTCCGACATTTGGCCCTCATCGATCACGACCAGTACCTTCATGGCATTGAGAGCACGGTGTCTTCATTGAGGAGTTTTATTCATCTGAGCGGACTGGCCATTGCATTGTTTTGGGGTGCATCTTGTTTTGAGAGTCGAGGAAGTGGGAGGTGGCGAAAGGCACAGCTGCAGTGCGGTTGCCAGTTGATGGATCGCATGGATCAAAACTTCTAGATTTCAAGAAGTTCGCGCCACCATATGGCTTTATGCAAACACAGACGTCAGAGAGCTTGTATTCATTTCATCCGGTCTGTGCTCGTGTACTTGCTGGGTGGGAGGAAGGTGACAACTTGAGCTTTTTGCTGAAATTTGGAGACGGGCCACATTGAAGATGCAATATCTTCCATGGAGATACGGGTTGGTAACGTCTGGGGCCAAGAACAACAACCGCTGAAGGGCCTTATCGTCGGCTTTACTCCATGGCTGTGTGCGTTGATGTTCGGGTCAATTTCATGAGTAGTCGAAGTGCTGTAGAAGTGGACCTCTCTGTATTTTTGAGGATGAGAGTTAAGCGCTCGATATAATGCGTTATAATTAGGCGTAGAACTACACAGGGATGGACCTAACTACTTGGGTTAATTGTTAAGAAAATGTCAATCTTCCTTAAAATTTGCAAGTATGAATTGCCGGTCTGGTAGGTCTGACTTGCGATATCCAGGTATCTAGGTACTAGGGCAGACTTGGTTTATCTTCAGCAACGCAATACATCAATTGCCAAATCAATATGGTATTGTATTGTGCTTGTAACTATGAATATCCAGGAACTCGTACACTACGAGGTAGTCTAGTAGGTAGTATGGAGGCTGGCGACGGAGCACTTATTAGGTATAGTAAGCCTTCTGTTCTCGAAACAATCACGTGATCAGTATTAGCTAACGAACTTCCTCGCGACGCCGTGCGATGCGACGCGACACGATCAACCTATTAACCCACCATCCGACGCCTACCGAGACCAACACCAGACCTCCAAACTTTCGGCGAAATGCAGCCTCAATATCGCGCTTATGCGCAACAGGTCCCTCAAAGATCCCCGCATGCGACAAACCAACGTCGAGGTGGAATTGGTAAGTTTCAAAACTCGCTGCATATTCTATCCGTCTCATTCCGCCCCAAGTTATCTACCTGCTAACATTACCCTTTGCTTAGGACCTATGATGTCCTCCGGTCCTCACCCCTCTGTTCCCCTTACCCAGGCACAGATGGCTCAACAACAACAGGCTCAGGCCCATGCGAGTGAACTTGCAAAGCGACGTAGTCGAAAGCCCACCGACAAAAACATCCCCGAAGCAGTAGAGGATAGCATTGTCAATGCAGATGGTGTCCATCGATACAAGGATCTGCGGGATGTTGAACGACGGCTCGACGCAACCATCACGCGGAAGCGTCTAGACATTGTTGATTACACTAGCCGCGGCTCCAAGGTGGGTTTCGCTTGTCCGAGCTTCAGAGACATCAACTAAATCACGATCTAGAGATACAAGACCCTACGAATTTGGATCAGCAACACGGTCGAAGATCAAATTTGGCAAAGCAATGGACTAAACTCTGACTCATTTGACTTTACCCCTAGCATGGAGGCTTCCTATCGAGTCAAGATCGAAGGTCGTCTGCTTGACAATGAAGATGAGACAACCGAGCAGGTCGCGCCCCAAGGTGAAGCCATCGAAGAAGACAATGCCTCGGGCGAGTCAGCTCCGAAACAAAAGCCAGCAGAGAAGCTTCGGTTCTCCCATTTTTTCAAATCGTTAACAGTCGACTTTGACCGATCCCGTTTTCGAACCGGCAACGAACAAACAGTGGAGTGGAAAAAGCCTGATACTGCCACCCGCAATCAAAGCTCTGGCAGCCTCCCTAGTTCAGTCGACTTCGATGAGCTCACCTTCAAAAGAAACGGAGACGAGAATCAGAACATTACCATCAACCTTTTTCGTCAAGAATCACCAGAGAGATACCAGCTGAGCCCTGAGCTTGCCGATGTTGTGGATATGAAGGATGCTACCCATCAAGAGGCAGTCATGGGTCTTTGGGAGTACATCAAGTTGCTTGGACTGCAAGAAGACGAGGAAAAACGCAACTTTCGTTGCAACGAAGCTTTGAAGAAGGTCAGTCTCTTTTCTAATTTCGGTATTGATACAATCCTAACGCTGAACGTAGGTTACAAGACAAGGCGATATCGGACACATCCCTCTGCTCAACGATTATGTTCAACAAAACCTTCGACCTTTGGAACCCGTCCGTCTACAGTACACCATCCGAGTTGACCACGAATTCCATAAAGATCCACAACCAACCATCTATGATATCCAGGTTCCCGTGGATGATCCCCTACGTGATTCGTTACTGCCCCTGCTTAACAATCCGCAATATATTGCAATGCTCAAAGAGGTGACAGGCCTTGACGACCAACTGGCTCGCGTTATTCAAGCCATTGCTGTTTCAAAGGCAAAGCATTCATTCTTTGAATCCCTTAGCAAGGACCCGGCCAACTTCATTAAGCACTGGCTGAGCTCGCAAAAGCGAGATCTTGAAGTGATCATGGGGGAGGCACCAAGGGGAGGGGGAGAGCACGCGTCGGGCGACGAATGGCGCCGTGGCGGAAAAGACAGTGTGTGGGCCACCGAGAATGCTCGCGAAAGCGTTAACGTCTTGCTCTCCAAGCAGCGCTAAAGACACTGAGTGATGTCGGCATGCTGGGAGCAGCGAATACCGATTGAGCACTGGGAGTTACTGCATTTCACTACACGTTGGGAACAGGGGCGTTGGGAGCGTCTTTTGTATAATAATATCATGAGCCAAGGTCGGCGGAAGGACACCTGTGCCTGATGCAGTCAACGCAACGTTGCGGCCAGGAGTGTGCAGATACTGCAGGAGTGACAAATGAGACAGGGTAGATTATAAAATTTCATTGTGATAGAACAAACAAAGAACTGCGCTCTTTGGTCCCGCTACCGCCCTATAAATGTAAAGCAGGGTAAAACGCCGCATGAGTTAGTCAAATGGTACGGTGAAAAGGTATCATAGCAAATAAGTACGACAGCATGCCAACAGTTACCGCTGAGGAGGGACAGGAACGGGCGGCATGTTGCGAATTTGCTTGATCAAGAACTCTCTCTCGTCAATGAATTGTTCGTCATCTGTCCGATCCTCGAGAAAATGAGAAAGGAATGTGAGAAGCTTATCGCGATTCATGAGAAGAATTTTCTGGACAGCGATAGACTTGTGTGGGTTGGCAACGAAGACCTTGAATACGTGAAACCCCTCGTACTGAACCATTTTCCTGTCATCGCGCAAGAGGTTCATGCATATTTTAAGGTGCTCGCCACGGTCAACGTAAGCAGTCATTACGCTATAGTTGGAGCGATCCAGCAGGATCTCACCCAGGAGCTTTATGGATTGACGCTTGGTTACGTAGCTGTTGGATTGGACCAAGATATTGTTGTATTTGGCGAAGAAAAGATCAAAATTCGCGGACAAGTACCTCGGCACGAGATCCTTGTGACGTGTTAGGAGTTCCTACGAGGAAGTCAGTGGCTATGTGCGAAGAAGGAGGTTGTAAATCAAACTCACCCGGAATGTGGTGAAAGCATCAGCTGCCACCTCAAAGGAGCTCTTATCTACCCACTCGAAGAATCTCCAGAACACGCCTCTACCACTCTGAGGCCGGTCACGGTCAATGGCGTTGAGTCCCTTAGAACTTGAGCCGGGCTCGTCTCCGTCATCGTACAAAATAATAGCAGCCGCTGCTTCATTCTTAAGCAACTCTCGCAGAACAGAACCCGCTGGCGTAGCACTCTCCTTGTGATCATAGCCTCGACATAGCTCGACCAGGACTTGAGGACGATTGCACACAACGTACGAGAGAGCAAGGGGGTCACTCTTTGGGGCGGCGGTGGCGGGACGGAAGCGGAAGACGTAGGAGAAGATTACCTGTGTGTCTTTACGTGATTCGAATGGCAGGCGGAATAGATTGACAGCGAGAAGGTGAAGGAGATCCTCGTCGATAAGCCCAGTCACGAGCTGCAAAATCTGTTCTGGTGATGTATCGGCCTCTTGAAGGATGTCTCAGCCTTTGATCAGGGGTTCGCACGACGGGTGAGGGGCATACCAGGAGTGCCTTGAAGGATTGTCTTCATTTGGCTCAGAACTCGAGCAAGCTCTTCGGCCTTTCAAAATCAGTGTTTTTTCCTGAGCTGGTATGATGCGGCTATTACCTTGGACGGGCCCTGTGGCCCATCAAGCTTCAAGACATGTTCGCGGGCTTGTTTGGGTAGATCAGCGACTGTGCGTGTCCGAGCCCTGCCAAACAAGAACGACATAGCTCAAGGCGATGCAGCAGAGTTATCAAGGACGTGGAATTCTCTGTTGCAAGGCAAGGCAAGTATTCGCCGAGTGTTGATGGGATGTTTGTTTTACTTGTTTGTCTGTATATGATTAATTGCCGGTATGTGAAAGGTACTAAGGTAGGTAGTGAGTGTTCCGACGTCAGGCTTGTTATCGATAAGTAGGCGTGTTATGGGTCGGGTCTCAAGCTCAGGAACCGGGCAGGCTGTATCGGTACCTTTAGTATGGAGGTAGGTGGACATAAAGTGCTATCTAGATGGAGGGGTTCCAGATGCTCACGACTTCAGAGTTGGGAGTGACAGAAAAATGAAACGTGGGACGAGATGTCAGCCGTTAGTGAAGTCTGGTCCAGATTATTTTACAGTCGATATTGAATAGGTACCGAATGCTCATCGGTCGGTAAGTTACCTTAGTACTGTACCTTGAAAGTAACGTCCAATACTTAGTATCTAGTATCTAGGTACCTAATTTAGGTACTATATGGAGGTTGTTGAATGAATAAAGTCAAGGGCACACACGCGCCACATCTGACTGGACCCTACTAGTCATTCTATCTTAGCGCTGAAATTCGCGACCGATAGTCGCAGATCGCAGAGTGTATGTTTATAGGTGCCTAGTAGGGTTTCAACTCGTTACCTGGCATGGAGTGGAGGTATCTAACCCAGTAGTATGCCAAAATAAAGGAGTCTAAGCGCTGGCCTGGGTTCGCGGTGGCTAACCAAGTTATTTCGTCTTCCATGGTTTCGGAAGCCAATTCTTCTGATACCCTAGGCCTGGCTGAAATCTCGACATAATTAAAACGAGCGATCTGAAGGAAGTATTTATCAACTCTGCGGTGCCTATCAAGTTGAATAAATCAACGCGAGACCAATGGGCTCCATAAGTTACCCTAGTAGGTACTTACCTATAGTACCTTAGTACCTAACTTCCATCGCAATGGGATCCAGACTTAATCTTGACATCCATGGAGCCTTCAGGGCCCGAAGGTCGGACGACCCCTCCATTCCGTGTGCTGTGCTGAGAGAGTCCGACGCGGGGCACATATTCCCCCCCCCCCCCCCCCCCCC